AGTAGCTGTAGACTAAATAATTTTCCCAAGATGTACAAGTCAGCTGCAGATCTGGGGTTTAAACCCAGGTGTATACCACACCTGACCACCAACCGTGGGAGTCTTCAACTGGACACCATGCAATGATGCTGCAACTGAACCTTGTAGAGCAGAGAAAATGTATGAAAAGAATTAAATCATAGTATAAGTAACAACAGGTGAAAGTTTACTAAATTAGCTAGATATGTATTTTCCAAAAACATCCTGCAAAAATTAGCTAAAGGGCACCAACTACACGTCAGATAAAAGAGTCCTATAAAAAAATACACATGGGAAACTCTGGATAAAACACAATGCAGTCAACACACAGTAAATGTGTATTAGGTTTCTCAGAGATTTTAATTTGAAAATGTGCACTGCATCCCTCCATGAAGGAGATAGATCATTCACTATTTTCCAACTTACTAGTATTTCAGAACAGAAAACCCTGGCACACATTTTTTTGTGTGGTGTGAATATTCCATAGAACAGAGGTAGATCATGACATTCAATTGCCATTCAGTGCCAAGGAGCTCAAGTTGCCCAACTGCACCTGCTAGGGTACCAATAACAACTCCTAACACAAATGAGACAAACTATGTGTTGACTCCTGGGGAAAAGCCTCCATTTGAAAGACCTATGATCCCAAGAATTGGATTTTTAAATATCCCATCCAGAAAGCTAGAACCAATTCTCTTTCCATGACAATTCTTCCTCTTTCAATTCCAAACTGAAACCAAAAGCTGTTGGCTCAAACTGTCATCATTTACTCTTACTCCTTAAGACCAATTGGATGTGGGTTAAGACAATGAAAAAAGTTCATTTTTTATTCAAAGCTTTATTTTCCTAATCTGAGCACAGCATTTTTTGACCCAAGAAAAGCAAATATTAGAAATGTATATAAATACTGAAATACAAGAATAAACAATGTCCACAAACTATGACGGGTTCAATGCTAACATAGAAATACAGATATCTTAAATACACATCCCCAATTAGAAAATAATGTGTTAAGGTGAAGTCATGGACTGAGAAATATTGGAAGGAGTAGCAATAGAAGATATTCACTCCCAAAAGGAAGAGATGTCTTATGTTTATTTCCCCCTCGGTGTTCTAGACTTGTCTGAAAATACATAAGGAAATAGGAAAAGGAATTCTCTTCCCACTCCTAGTAGCCAGGCTTTTATTTCTAAGGTTTGGTTTGAAACAAAAAGTCCTTTTATCCAGTGTGTGGGGAGACAGAAAGAGGTGAGGGAGAGAGAATTCCAGAATGACTATCGTTTTTGATGATCTAAGAATGTCAAGGGAAGATTTCAGAAACTCTTATGCAAGAGGGAAGTGACCCAAGAGTGGAGAAGGGGTGGAATGGGGACAGGGGTTATATCCCCTTGTTCTGGAAAAAGACAAGGTGTGTTGTAGTTCAGGAATGGCACGCTACTTGCAAGCTCTGCCTGAGAGATGCCAAGACTTTAAATGGTGGGTGATGCCCACAGAAACAAGACAGAGGATCAGGGCTTGGACAAAGCGGCAAAGTTCCCTGTAGCTAAGCCAGTAGCAACACAGAGAAAGACAGATGCAGAGTCATCCTAGTGGCTTGCCCAGAGCAGCACTGTCTCTGAGACAGAAGAGCTCTGCACAGCAAAGGGGACAGGAGGACAATGGGGATCAGTGTCCGTTAATAACCAGAGGTCTCTCCTCCCCATATCCTGTTCCCTAAGCTCCAAGGTCACATACACCCCAGGGTTCTAGCACAACAAAAACTGATACCTGACTTCTCATTAACTTCACTCAGAGAAGCCGTCTGCCAAATTCTATGTGAACTTTTAAAAAATAAAGATACAATATAAGTTATCCACCAAATTTCTGGAGGGGAAAAAAATTAGATTGCTAAAGTCCTATGCTGCCTTTCCTGAGGAAAGGCCTTCTCTATTGCTCCTACCCAATTATATTTTGAAGAATCTGTAACAATTTCAACTAAGGCCTAATTCTGAGTTTGACTTCATTGAGAGACATTAGAATCTGGAGAGACACAGCCACTGCCCTAAATATTTTTCACTTAAAGTTGCCACATTCCACTTTTTTGTTTTTTCTTATATGGCCCAACTGCTGGGCCAATCATCATGGCATCACTGCCGAGTCTAGCATAGGGGGGCATCAACCACCATCCCAGGTCTTCCTAGTAGCATCTCTCAGGTATCGCTTGCACGTAGGATGCCATTCCTGAACCACAACACTTTTACCCTCGTTTATTCTTGAAACGCAAGAGTTTCTAATGTCTTCCCTTGAAGATGTCCACCGACAAAGCTTTATATCCCCCTCCGTGGGACCCTAGAAGCTCCTCCAGACTGTCATCTTCATGTGGTGATGAACTCAGTGGGTAAGAGACAGGCCCTGGAATCAGACATGTCTTAAGAGATCTGTCACAGTCCAGCTGAATGACCTGTGATACCTCGCTTCACCACTTTAACTCTGAGTTTTCTCATCAGTTAAATGGAAACATTGATAGTAGCTACCTGAGAGGACGGTAGTGGGGATACAATAGGATTATGTTAAAAAGCTCTAGGCACAATGTTTAGCTCATTATCATTACATGAGAATGATAGCTATTATTAGCAATAGAAATCTAAGCCACTGAAGAAATGTTCAGTTATTACCATAACTGCCTTCCAGCAGTACTTTAATGTGGTAAGTGCCGCATTTAATGTTATGAATTAGATGGCTTCTAAGTTACTTAGATCTATTAAGTTTCTTGTGAGTTTTAAAATAACTTGTCTTTACTACTCAAAGAAAAAGTCACTTATCAGAGGCCACACCTTCCAGCTTCCAGAGTGATATAAGTGTATATGCAGAAATACCTGCAAATTAGATTTCAGACAAAATGCCAAGATAAAAAATGTCCCATCATTGTTAGGGTTTAATTTTTAAAGTAAGCTGTATCATTTTTAAAGTAATAACTAATAGTGACTTGATTATTAGAGTTTTTAGAAAAATTATTGCTGGACTGTCAGATTCATAATTAACTGTGGGAGATTATAGTAAATAATGAGCAAAGAATGTCCTTGGCAACATTCAAATAGAAATAATGACTATTCAGACATCAATTCTGTAACAGATTTTTTAACACTTGGGCAATAAATTTAATCAGTGGTGTGCTGGTAAATGTTTAATAACCAGCTCCCAAGGGAATGGAGGTCCCTGATTTGTAGTGTTTGCCAATTTCCGTGGTGTAAAATCCTCCACCATGACCCATTTCATGTCAGCACCAGCACATCACCTAGATATGGAGTAGTATTCGTAATAGCTAGGTAGGTCACCTCAAAGGGGCTGTTTACATGGGAACCAAGGAATTAGCTCAACAAGTAAAAAGTAAACATAGATTAATGTTACACAAGTTTTCTAGGAAGGTGACTGAAGCAATTTTACAATGAGCTAACACCATAGGTGTTATTCGCAATCCTTCCTCACAGAGCTGATCCTCTCTCTACAAGTGGCAGCATACATCTCAGTCTTGTATCATCTTCTTCTATACTGACCCCACTATACTCTTAAAAGTCTTGCTGGACTGAACTCTTTACCTGGATAGGGGTTCCTCTCTGTATTCATTTAATATCATTCATCAAGAAATAATGGTTTTCTTCCCTGATTTCCCCCATAAGACTATTGCATCTTCCCATCTCCCTTATTTCAGTAAACCCACCACCCAGGAACAGAGACACATTCTCTATGAATAGAAGGGATTCACTGTCATTTAATCATTTGCTTATCTGCTTTTTCATTTGGGAACAGAAGAACTAAGCTTTTAGGAATTCCTTTTGGAAAGCTGTAGGAAAGCAAAATAAGTTCTTTTGTCTTACTTCCAGCTTTGAACTCCCGTCTATCCCTAGCCTACTTCACTACAGGAACTTGTGACTTGCCAAATTAAAGGATTAAGAAAGTAGAGTTTATAAGTAAAAATAAATGTTAACAACATATTTCTCTGTTAATTCGTAATGTTGCACTTCAAACTTGCTTAATTGCTAAAAGACAAGCTATTGAATATGACAGTCATCAATTCTACAATCTCTCTGTAGGTTACACTAAAAAAGAAAATTACATTATTTCTATGGCTACAAACAAGAAATCCATTGCTAGACAAAAGAGTTCTGTGGGTGGATGTTGATGATAAGAGTTCTGTGGATGGATGTTGGTACTTAATGCCTCTGGACTATACACTTAAAAATGGTTAAGGTGGTAAATTTTACATCATGTGTAATTTACTAAAAATTTTAAAACTTTTTAGAAATTTAAAAACAGACATCTATTAAAGAGAAATTCTGCCACTCTGCCCTCCAGAATTTCAAGTACACAAAACAGTACAACATTTCTCCACATTCTTGCCAACAAATAAGTCAAACAGAGAAAGACAAACATCATATGATTTCACTTATATGTGGAATCTAAAAAAACAACAATAACAAAAAACAAAACAGAAACAGACTCATAGATATAGAGAACAAAATGATGATTGCCAGAGGGAAGGGGGTGGAGGATGAGTGGAAAATGTGAAGGGTAATAAGAAAAACAAACTTCCAGTTATAAAATACATAAGCTCCAGGGATATAATGGACAGCACAGGAAACAGTCAATAATATCATAACAACTTTGTATGGTGACAGTTATCAGACATATTGTGGTGATCACATCATAAGGTATATAAATGTAGAATCACTATGTTGTACACCTGAAATTAATATAGTATGGTATTTCAACTGTACTTTAATAAACATTTTTAGAAGACAGTATACCAGATTTTTAAAAAAATAAATTAATTAATATCCTTTACTATTGCCTGTGTTTAAAAAAAGGACGATTTTGCTCTGCTAGACATTAATGCTACTTTTTTTTCCCAAAGGTCTCATAGTCATTACAATTAACTGATATGGGCTGATATGAAGGAGGAATGGTTTAATCAGGAAAACAAAAGGTCAAAAAGGGAAACATACTGCATTCTTTGCCTCTCACTGGGTCAGGCAGGCCAGAGCAGTCCACTGCAGAATTCGGAATGGCAACTCTCCACCTGGAGCCACTGCTATCACATTCCGTATATTCAAAGTGGTAATCTTTCTGCAAACAATTACAAAAACAAGCCTTTGTTAGAGCCACTTTCAAAGGGACAACTGTGCTTTCTCCATCACCCCCAAACCTACAAGCCTGATTCCAAACTTTACTCTCTGGTTGACTCTCCTTCTTCCCCCACTCAAGCTATACCAAGTAGTTGTTTTTTTATGTATGTGTTTTTTTAATAAAAAATGCATCATGCCAGACACTAATTAGGCACTAAGGATGAGATGAGGGACAGGATAGTCAATGCTCTCAAGTTGTGTCCACTGATCTTTTAGTCTCACCCACCCCAAAGAGGCTACAGCATATTTCCCTATTTCTTTAGCAGGTTTTGAGAGCTCTAAATAATTGAGATAGGCATATTAGAGCAAAATAACACTAGGAAATTGAATGCTGTGACTGCCCCAAGTTTTTCAAAGAAAGAAATAAGAGAACTACTCCCACTGACCTAATTCTCACTCTGTTTAAAATTTAACAGAGGTGTAATAGTTAATTATCCCAATGCTAGTATAAGACTACCAGTTTTTCAAGTCGCTCTCCCAAGCTCCATACACACACACCACAGCAGGCTGCCATCAATCACAGACTATAAAATAAACATTTATAATTGCCATATTAAGACCAATCCACTTGTCTCTGGCCTTTGGTTGCTTTGAAATTTTCACAGTGCCCTCCATTGGTCAGAGAACATTACACAAGTGAGATGCCTGAGCTTAGAGGAACAGGGACAAAATGCCATTGGAGCATCTGAAGAATGAGAGAAGTTCTAAGTCCTCCCCAAAATATTTTCAGCTCAATATCCTATTAATTCAATTCAATAGCTAGGATGTTGTTATTCTGCTTCATCCACCCTATCTGCCTCCTTTACTGTATCAATGACAGGAGAAAAGAAATGTCAAGTCACACCACCACTCGGGAAATCAGGTGCAGGAGGCAGGGAGTTACCTTGGTTGTGTGTGTCTGTCCACATGGCAAGAACACCAGTTAAGAAATGGGTTCTGAGATTCACAGCCCATTCCTCCACATACAACTTATATGACATGGGCAAGTTACTGACTTCTCAAAGCATTCATTTTTCTCTTTAGTGAAGTTAGAATAATAATATTTACTATCTTGTATGGTTATTGTAGAAATTAACTGAGATAATGCATGTAAAATGTCAGGCATGTTAGGCTGCACTGAGTTAGCATTTGATTAATGGTAGAATTATTATCATTATTAACAACAATAAGGAAAGAGGATGATATAGAGAAAAGAGCTAGTGGTGATATGGTAAGGACAGACCACCTGGGTTCCTGTTTCCCCTGCTTCAATTTCTCCATATACGTAAGATAAAATGAGAAGTTCACTGAATTTGATTACATACAATTATTGAATATAAAAGTCATAAACTGAAGTAATGGTAAACAACAACAAACTGGTGAAGGAATAACACAAAACAAAGGTTCATTGGCTTAAGAATACTGGGTTCCTAAAAGTCAGTAAGGAAAAGGACAAATACTATTTGGGAATATAGTCAAAGAACACAAGCAATTCATTAAAGAACAATACAAATGGTCAAGGAATATACAAAAAAAATGTTAAACCTTGTCAAAGAAATACAAGTAATAATGTTCATCAAGTTGGTACAACATTTAAAATACTTTTTTTCAAAACTCTCTAATGTAACTATAATACAAATGCTTCCAATGAGAGAGCAAAGTGGTACAGGCTTTCTGGAGAGAAGTTTGTCTATATGAATCCAGAACTTTAAAGTGTTCAAACTTTTGAACCCAAAATCTCACTTCTAGCATCTAATTTAAGGGGAGGAAATGTTTGATGTGGTCAGTGATTTATGTGCAAAACTGCTCATCATAACTTTGGCATAGCTAGGGAGAGCATGCTTAATTGTTAAGCATTAAAGAATCTTGCATTTACATTATTTATCTGCTATTTTTCATATGTATTTACATCATTAAATACCTATAACAATTATGTGGTTTAGGAAGAAGAGTTCATATTATTCCCATCATGCACATGAAACTCAGATTGGGTAAATAATTTACCCAGAGATACCCAGCTAGTAAGGAGCATCGCCAAGAGCAGAAGTCAAGCCTTCTGTTTATGTACAAGCATTTTCAGTTTACATAATGCCATTATGCTTAAAATAGAAGGTTACTGTTTTAAAATAGAAGGACTGGTGACAGTTCCTAATGTAAAACCTGATGGCTACAGAAGTCTAACAGTAATCATAAAGATGTCTTATATTCAAAGAGATACAAGAGTACAGAGATGAGGGAAATGATTTGATTTCTCTATTTCTGTATTTGTTTTCTGTGGCTGCTGCAACTAATTACCACACACTTAGCCACTTACGATAATAAAAATGTATCTTTTCACAGTTCTGGAGGCAAGAAGTCCAGTAAACATTGAGCACTTAAACAGATCCCTGGAAATAGAATTTTCTGGGCGATAAGGAATAATTAAAAGAAGGTAAAAAAAATGTTCTCATACAAATATAAAATTACTGCATTTCACAGATTTTATTTAAATCATTCATTAGCACATTGATAAGTAAGAAGGTACCACCAGTTCAAAGAAGAATTCAAACACACATGAACAGGCAATCCAGAAAGTGAAATGAATTGACTTAGCGATGCAGAACTGGTAAATAAATACCCACAGCATAATAATCAATTGCATTCCAAAGGGTAAAATGTCTTTTCATTTCTATGGACAAGAGTAATTTGTATTCCTATTGGTTTCTTACACCTTACAATGTTGTAAAATAGCTCAAAGGACAGAATCAGGCCCCTGTAGAAACTGAACCAGGTGCACTAAACATGACACCCGGAAATCTTTTCTGCCTATTTCAACGTGTTTCAAATTTTCCCTGACAAGGGTGGAGATTCCTGATAAATTTTCCTGCACTTCAGTGTTCCTGACAGTTTATCACCAAACATATTGATATCAGTCAGAGTGTACTCTGTAAACAACAGGATGTCCACTCACTATCCACATTATAAATTGAGGAAGTGGTTGGCCCTACCCCACTCAAAAGATGGCAGTTACTAGTATTTATACATGTCTGCAAATCACAGAATGCTGGGGCATGAAGACCCTGCACCGAATAACAAAATTATGGAAATCCCTGAAAACTTTACATTGCAAATATGCGGGGACCAGGAAACAACCCCAAGAGAATAATTACTCCTCGTCACCAAACACTTAGGGAAGACTACCCTCAATAGAAATCATGGTAAAACACACACAACCACACATTCACAAATAAAGATATAGGCACGAACTCTCAAATAACAAAAACTCAAATTGTGTTATCTTACTCCTAAAACACAAATTATCAGGGTACACCCAAATAAACATTGGATGTCCACAGTACCCCCAGACAAAAACTCTGTCCTTGACCAATGTTTAGTCAGGCTCTCTTCCCAATGAATCTTTGATTTGGGGGCTTTCATATTCATCTTTGCATCACACAGTTTTAGCAAGAATCCTGTCATGTCAGTTTAGCAGAATTCTTCCTCCTCTAGTTCTGATGTTTCCCCTTAGTAATTCTCCATCCACTGACCTTCACCCTGCTCCTTGCCTATAAATTCCCGCTTGTCCATAGTATAGAGGAAATAAGTCCAGTTCTGCACTGAAACCTCTTTTCCCCTATAGATTCCTGAATAAACTCTGTTTTTACCACTCTACTGACCAGCTCTGGTTTTACCCCAAACACAAAGGTAATTTACAATATGAAAGCCTCATGGTACGCATGGAAAAAGTGGGTATATCCCCCAATTATGACAGTTGTTATAGTTTAACTTCATATGGGCTACACAATGTTTCAAATAAGTCACATAAACATAATATGCATATATAGATATCTTGACAGTATATTGACAATATACATATATTATTTTATATATTGATATTAATATATAATATATAATTATTTATGCATATAGCAATCAATTGTTTGGTATAGTAACATTACCATATATCATTATTTACTACTAGAGGCCCGATGCACGGAATTCATGCAAGAGTAGGCCTTCCTTCCCCTGGCTGCTGGCATCAGCTTCCCACTGGCACCTGGGACCTGGGCTTCCCTCACAGAGGTCATCTGGAAGGACGTCCGGTCTAATTACATATTATGCTCTTACTATTATAGGTGTGGCACTTAATTATTAAATAAGTACTATGGCCTAAGTATTAGGGGGAAAATTTTAAATATATATAAAACCCAGTCCTCACACTCAATAAGCTTATGATTTTATTGCAGTAGATAGGACATTAGCACACATACACACACACAACATCCTATGTAATAAAAGCCTAATATGCAAATTGACTGAACAGTGGAACGATCTGTTGGCAGGGGGCAGGGACAGTGAGCGTGTGGTGCCAGGCCAGTCAAGGTGGGTGCCAGTGGGCAGAGGGAGGGGATGGCAATCAAGGGGCGGTGATGACTGGCAGTGGTGGAGGGGCAATCGGGGAGTGGGGCCAGCTGCTTGCCATCCTGCATGTCCCCTGATCGATCGGCCTATGGGTCGCCTCCTGCAGAGGGAGGCCAGACTGCGGCTTAGGCCCGCTTTCTGGGAGGAGTGGGCCTAAGCCATCAGTCGGACATCCCCCCAGGGGCTCCTGGTCTGTGAGAGAGTGCAGGTCAGGCTGAGTGACACCCCCCCTGCCCCCCGAGTGCACAAATTTTCATGCACCAGGCCTCCAGTAGACTATATAATAAAGTAATATGCAAATGGTTGTTACATAATGACCGACTGCATAATGATCAGATCACGGATCAGCAGGAGGGTGGGGCAGCTAGCTACAAGGGGGTGGCAGAGAGCTACAGGAGGGCGGCAGCAAGCTACTGATGCACGTATTCGTGTACAGGGCTACTAGTATTTTATAAGAAAGCAGAAAGATTAAGGGCTCCAAAGTAGAATAGTGTCATCACAAATCGGTATGCAAGTAAAAACTTTATCTGGGGAAAATTACCAATAAAAATCCCTTAA